CGGCGTTGTAGCCCGCTGGTTGCGAAGCCCGGCTCGTCGCGCTCCGGTTGCAAAGCCCAGCCCATAGGGCGGAGAAACCCAGTCGAGGCACTGCTGCTGTGATGTCAACCCCGCCAATGCGGTACATCATTAAAGTATGCGCCGTCATGTTCGAGGTCGCTTTGCTGGCGATCGAATCCCGCAAAGTCGGCGCCGTCCAATGCAAACCCCCAATCGCTTCGTGAACAATAGCCGCCAGTGAAGGTTGCCTCCTCGCGCCAGCCCCTGTTGTTGCGTTGATCGGCCCCGTTCGCAAAGACTGGGCCCCATCGTCGCGGCCGTCGTGCGCAACGAAGGGCTCAGCCTCGTCGTAAGGTTGATAATCGCCGAAGGGGTTCACCTCCGAGATTGTCTCCTCGACGTCTTCGTCGTCGGATGGTGGCTGTGAAGATCTCTGGCGGGGAGCCCTGCCTGGACCACGACATCCACGACCTCCGCAACTCCCTCGCGTACGCCCCGGTTGCCGGTGTCACGGTTCGCCTGCAATTCCTCAACCATATTGTTGATCGTAAGACGCACTTCTTCGATCCCCGTCGAAAGATCCTCAACCTGACAATCTAATTGATTAATCTGGCAGCCGAAGCCCGTGGCTTGTCGACCCGGATGTTCAATGGTGGCGTCACGCCATTCGATGTCGTCTATTCACGGCGGCGTTTTGAATCGTGTTGACTTTTGATATCAACTGATGTAGAGAAGCGTAATTAATGAGATGGCAATCTCAAGAACACCTAAACACTATATCAATTCATATTTTATTTAAAATCCACCACCCCACAATAAAACATAAGAGTCCGTTATATAAGACTCTTAATATTAAAGTCTAACTTATTCTCCAAACTAATAAATATAATAATAATCGTTTGCTCACCAAGCTAACTTGTCTACACCATATATTTGACACAAATTCAAAAAAGAAAAAGTAAACATAAAAAATAAATATTCCATAAACACATTGATTATTATTATTATTTTTTTTTTTATGGCACACATCCTCTCTATATATAATTTCAGAATGCGTTGAGCCTACGTGGCAAATTCGCACGCTTTGGAATCCTATTTGGCAAAAAATCATGCTTTGGAGTTAGGCTTGGATATAAATTAATATTTGTATTAATTGTATTTTAATATCATTTCCTATTATAATCATTGGATTTGCAAATATATTTTAAAAGTTGATAACTTTTGTATTTCTTATCAGTTTTACATATATAATATATCAAATTAATCATCTATATATAATTTCAGAATGCGCTGAGCCTACGTGGCAAATTCTCACGCTTTGGAATCCTATTTGACAAAAAATCATGCTTTGGAGTTAGGTTTGGATGTAAATTAATATTTGTATCAATTTTGTATTTTAATATCATTTCCTATTATAACCATTGAATTTGCAAATATATTTTAAAAGTTGATAACTTTTGTATTTCTTATCAGTTTTACATATATAATATATCAAATTAATCATCTTTTGATGTGCTTCGATTTGACATCCATACTGTATATATAAAATAAATAAATTATATTTATCTTTATAATAATAATAAAATTATTTACTAAAATTAATTAGAAAATAAAATTATTTATCAATTAATATATTTATGTTTAATGTAGTTCCCCTCTATATATAATTTTAGAATGCTGTGAGCCTACGTGGCAAATTCTCACGCTTCAGAATCCTATTTGGCAAAAAATCATTCTTTGGAGTTAGGTTTGGATATAAATTAATATTTGTATTAATTGTATTTTAATATCATTTCCTATTATAACCATTGAATTTGCAAATATATTTTAAAAGTTGATAACTTTTGTTTTTCTTATCGGTTTTACATATATAATATATCAAATTAATCTTTTGATGAGCTTCAATTTGACATCCATATTGTATATATAAAATAAATATATTATATTTATCTTTATACTAATAATAAAATTATTTACTAAAAATAATTAGAAAATAAAATTATTTATCAATTAATATATTTATATTTAATGTAGTTATATGTCATAAGGTAGAAAATTTATTATAATATAACATATATAAGTCGCACAAGTAACATGTGTCATACTAAAATATATAATAATATATACTGCCTGCTATTTTTATTATTTGTCACTTTGCCTTAATTGATCATTGATAAAATAAATGTCGTTTTTATATATGTTCATATTTTTCCATTTTCAATCCTCCATCTAATACACAGTGTCTCTTCATATCTCATCTCCATTGTTTCCCATAACATCCATTAAATAGAGTTAATATTGTCAAGAAAAAAAAATCTTAATTAGTGTGCTGAATTTGAATTGATATTATGAAGTCCGTTTGTATTTTACTATTTATTTATATATATATGAAATATTGTTCTCACGCTTTGGAATCCTATTTCACAAAAAAATATGCTTTGGAGTTAGGCTTTGATATAAAATAATATTTGTATTAATTGTATTTTAATATCATTTCCTATTATAACCATTGAATTTTCAAATATATTTTAAAAGTTGATAACTTTTGTATTTCTTATCAGTTTTACATATATAATATATCAAATTAATCATCTATATATAATTTCAGAATGCGTTTAACCTACGTGGAAAATTCTCACGCTTTGGAATCCTATTTGACAAAAAATCATGCTTTGGAGTTAGGTTTGGATGTAAATTAATATTTGTATTAATTGTATTTTAATATCATTTCCTATTATAACCATTGAATTTGCAAATATATTTAAATGTTGATAACTTTTGTATTTCTTATCAGTTTTACATATATAATATATCAAATTAATCATCTTTTGATGTGCTTCGATTTGACATCCATATTGTATATATAAAATAAATAAATTATATTTATCTTTATAATAATAATAAAATTATTTACTAAAATTAATTAGAAAATCAAATTATTTATCAATTAATATATTTATGTTTAATGTAGTTCCCCTCTATATATAATTTCAGAATGCGCTGAGCCTACGTGGAAAATTCTCACGCTTCAGAATCCTATTTGGCAAAAAATCATTCTTTGGAGTTAGGCTTGGATATAAATTAATATTTGTATTAATTGTATTTTAATATCATTTCCTATTATAACCATTGAATTTGCAAATATATTTTAAAAGTTGATAACTTTTGTATTTCTTATCGGTTTTACATATATAATATATCAAATTAATAATCTTTTGATGAGCTTCGATTTGACATCCATATTGTATATATAAAATAAATAAATTATATTTATCTTTATAATAATAATAAAAATATTTATTAAAACTAATTAGAAAATAAAATTATTTAATATATTTATGTTTAATGTAGTTATATGTTATAAGGTAGAAAATTTATTATAATATGAAACATATAAGTCGCACAAGTAACATGTGTCATACTAAAATATATAATAATATATACTCTTTGCTATTTTTATTATTTGTTACTTTGGCTTAATTGACCATTGATAAAATAAATGTCGTTTTAGATATGTTGTTCATATTTTTCCATTTTCAATCCTCCATCTAATACAAAGTGTTTCTTCATATCTCATCTCCTTCGTTTTCCATAACATCCATTAAATAGAGTTAATATTGTCAAGAAAAAAAAATCTTAATTAGTGTGTTAAATTTGAATTAATATTATGAAGTTCGTTTGTATTTTACTATTTATTTATATATATATGTAAATTATTGTTATCTATGAATTAGGCCTATTAGTAATATATCACTAATAAGGATATAAAATACTTTTATCTATGAATTGATACAAAACAGTAATATATATCCTTATAGATAAAATTTAAATTTATTTATCAAACTAAATTAAATTATATCAAATAAAACTATAAATTATATTATAAAGTAATAGAAATTGGTATGTATTCTTTTAAAAATGATATTTACTTCAAATCTAATTGGTATATTGTCAATGTAAAAAAAATAAATAATTATTATATAAATTCTAAAATTACATATAAAGTTAAAAAACTGTAAAACACGACTGATACGACACTTGATGTATTAGGCATCTAATTAAGTAAAAAAAATTAATTTATTTTGCTTAATATTAAATAAACATATTCTATGCATATACATATCACCATAATATTTCTATTTATTTAAAATATATATTTTTGTACTTAAGTAATAGTAAATAATATCGATATTTTATATGATCTAAGTAAAAAAATTCAACATGGGTTGACATTTTTATTTATTGTACGGGTGTTTAATTATTATGATTAAAAAATATAATTTGACAATTTAATTAAAACCCAAAGTAATGCTTTATATAAAATTAATTAATTTTAGTTTATAAAAAAATAAAAAACTAATATTTTTTATAAAAGTTTTCTTATTCAACACCCGTGTAATACACGAGTATTGTATTGGTAAACACATTAATTACTAATCATCCTAAAACTGCACACAACGTGAAATCGAAAATTCAAATTAAAAAATAAAATTAATTAAATGAAGAGAACAAAAAAAGAAATGGAAAGTGTCCTTTTACGGTTGCGTATGCAGTGGGCCCCCAGGATCTTATTCCATACTGCCACCCCTACAAATACCACACCACTCTCATCCCTTCCATTTGCATTCAACCCAATTTCAAAGCAAATCACAACACTCCCAGGAAAAAAAATAAATAAACAAAAAAATTAAGAAAAGAAAATCACACTCAATCAAGCTCCAATTAATCCTCTGTTTATCTCGCAATTCAAGCTCTCAACTGTCATCCACTGATCTCATATCTTTGGGTGCTGTTGTTTGCTTAATTCAAGGTAACAATACTATCAATGCTAACTAAAAATCTTGATTCACTACTTTCTGTGTACCTTCTTCCATCACACTTTCAATTTTTTCTCTAGTCTCTAATGATAGTTATTGAACTTCTTGTTATTGCAGAGCAAAATAATAATAATAATAAAAAAAAAACAGAACAAAAACAGAGCCACCATTGATCATCAAGAAATGCCCTGCAAAACCAGCCCCAACCATATCCCGATGATCCCGTCCGGAACCAAACAAGGTATCGTCACCATTCTCGGCTCCGATAACAAACCGGCAGCCGCCGCCTCCATCCGCAGAACACTCTCCGCCGACATGTCCTCCCGACAATGGCTCCACCAAAACATAATTTTCCCTTCTTCTTCTCATTCTTCTTATTCTTCATCATCATACTCCTCTTCCTCTTCTGCTGAGGAAGAGGAGCAATTCAATCGGACTCCAGACCAGGACGAGGTCTGGAGATCGATCCAGGCTAGCAACAACCGAGCCTCCCGACAAGAGACGGATCGTCCGTGGGGCTCGATTCTCTCCCACAAGAGCGAACCCTCTTCCCTCCCGCAAACTACCCCTTACGTCCACCCCGGCCTCGTCAAGAGCCGCATGACCCAACGCAGTCTCGAGATCTGCACCGAGAGCCTCGGCTCCGAGACTGGCTCCGACTGTTATTTCCCCTCCACCGAAAACCAACTCCACTTTGAAAACCGAGCCCAAACGCAAAGAGAGTATCACTACAAACTCGATTTGTACGCCGATGTCCAAGTCGTCAAGTACAAGAGCGCGCCGGCGAGGCCCCTCCCGCCGCCCCTCCCGTCGGCCCACCGCCAGCTGCAGGCGCGACGGGAAAACGGTCGTCTCGTCCTCGAGGCAGTTCCCGTCTCGCCCAAAAACAACTTCCGGGTACTCAGACAGGGTGGGCGGCTCGTGCTCACGCTCATGGGGACACGTGGCGAAAGGGTATTTGCTGACGACGACGGTGATAATGATGACGGTGGTGATGGAAAGGGAGAGGAGTTTGTGGTGGAGAACAAGATGTCGAATATAGGTCTTCCGGAGAAGAGGCTGATGATGAAAAAGTTTGTGGTGGTGGGGAACGTGAGCGCCGCTTTGGCATGCAAGGAGGAGGAAGAAGATGAGATATCGGTTGTCCCACAGTCGCTCCCTGTGGCTCCGAGGGTCGGGAGGCTCAATGTGTACGAGTACTTTTGGAAGAACAAAAGTAATGGTTTCGGCAGTTTTGTCGGTTCTGTTCCGAACACTGCTCTCGTCAATCCCATCGTTAGTAGTGTTCCCAAGGCGGTTAAAAGTAAAATCTCGATCAACGGCGGCAACAACAACAACAGTAATCGGAGCGAGTATGAAAATCGGGATTTTATGATTAGGAGAGGGAGCAAAGGAGATGATTTGGTGACATATATGAAGGGATGCAAGGAGCCAAGGAGGTTATGTTTGAATTGGGAGCCATATTGCATTGCCACTTCATGAGGTGGCTCAAAAGAATAATTATTACCTAGCCGAGGCAAACTTTGACTAAACCCAAACCTATTTACATTAATATTGATGATCCTTGATATTAATAATATATATGATGTAACCATGCACCCACCATGTATTAACCTCTCATATGTCATGTCCAGAAAAAGAGAAAT